AAAGTTACATTCGTTCAATTAAATCCTTTGCTCAAACTTCTTTTAACTTTTTTTAACAACTATCTTTTAAAATTGAGAAAATTGTGTTGAATGATTAGATTAAAATTTTCGAATTTAAAAGATCAGCTGTTTTTTTTACACCTGACATTGGAAATGATCTGTAATGATCACCTACTAGGAAATGATCTGTAACTTTTGATGAATGATTTGGAATAGCAGCACAAATTTATCACTTGAAATCTTGAAGATAAAGAAAGAGTGAAAAGGATTATCTTGGCAGTTAAAAGTTCCTTGAAGTTCCTTGAAATTTTCTAGAAACATCAAAATGAAAGCTTTTCTGTGCTTGTAACATTCATTTTTTTTTACTTCAAATTGGAGCTTAAAATGCGGTATAAGAACAATTACAGTTAGCTTTTCATACAGCAAGATTTCGGGGCAATTCTCAGGGTGAAAGGTCGTCACGATGACGGCTGCTCAAGCAACGGTTGGGGTTACGAGAATGCTGGTTTCTATGAATGGTACAAGAAAACTTGTTCGTCTTTTTGGTCAGTCAGTGGTATGCTGAGATGTCGTTGTGTCTAAATCGTTCTTGCTAGCAAGCATTATACATTAACCAATCAATAAAGTGTTTTTTCATTTTGCAGAAACACAGTTTTCATATTATATACCGCATTTTCTCTAATAGTCCACCCAGAGAGTCGTCTAAATTACTCGAAATCTCGAAAACCACTTATCAGAACCTATCGATGTGGGGCGGAAAATGTAGCTGACGATGAGATCTAGTCGGGGATTTGAGTGTTGAGCTTCTGGGAAAAATTGGAAACCATAAAATAGGTATCAACTCGGGTCGGTACGGTGCACTACTATTAGAGAAAATACGGTATTTGAACTCTTCTATTCTATTCTAGAGGTGAATTGAATACTGCTAGCAATTAGACAGACAAAAACTAGACATACTGTATTCTCTCTAATAGTAGTCCACCCAGAGAGTCGTCTAAATTGCTCGAAATCTCGAAAACCACTTATCAGAACCTATCGATGTGGGGCGGAAAATGTAGCTCACGATGCGATCTTGTGGAGGATTTGAGGGTTGAGCTTCTGCAAAAGCGTGGAAACCGTAAAATAGTCGCCAACTCGGCTCACCGGGGTGCACTACTATTAGAGAAAATACGGTACATGTGCTATCGGGATCAAAATTTTTCACTTTGGGCTTTGTTTAGCCAGACTGAAGAGGTGAAAAGAGATTCTTGAGAACAACAGTTGACTTTTTAAGGCTATTTGATAATTGATTACCGTATTTTCTCTAATAGTAGCGCATCCTGAGTGCCCAATTCCTCGAAATCTCGAAAAGCGCTTATCAGAACCTATCGATGTGGGGTCGGAAAATGTAGCTGACGATGAGATCTTGTGGAGGATTTGAGTGTTGAGCTTCCGCAAAAACTTCAAACCCGTAAAATAGTGATTAACTCGGCTTGGCGGGGTGCATTACTATTAGAGAGAATACGGTAAATCTTTACCAACCAAGACCCAGATCTTTAGTTAGGCCATCGCGCAATTATTGAGCCAAAAAAAAAATCGCCAACTCCGAAGCCAGTTTTTCTGGGTTTTCAAAAGTCAACTTTGATTTTTCTTTTTTAAATAAACTATTATGAGTTTTAAATAGATATTTTAATACTATTGTCTTTATGCATTTATTGGGTTGTCCAGCTATGAATGCGCGTTTTTACTATTTTGTAAATTTCTCAGGATATCGAACAGATGTATATGAGTAGATTTTTAGATTAAAGAACTTTCTTTTAGATTAAAGATCTTTTAGATTAAAGAACTTTCTTCAAAACCTACCAGGCAACATAATGATAATTGGTGCTTGTTGTTGATTATTCTTTGGATTCAACCAATCATTCGCCAAACATACACCATCGGACAAATCGACAATCTCCCGTTCGAATGCTAATTTAGGGAGGCGTCTGCAAAAAAACGATGGACCAATCTATCATTTTCCTCTCAATCATTTGGTTATATTGGGTTGTCCAGCTATGAATGCGCGTTTCTACTATTTTGTAAATTTCTCAAGATATCGAACAGATGTATATGAGTGTGATATATCATTCGAAAGCTGAAGATCTCCTCTACATTTTGGAATAAAAAAACTTTTTGAATTCATTCAACTTTTTGGGAAATTGACTGCACAAAGGGAGAGGTCGTTTTCGAAAAAACTCATTCCAGCTTAGCTATTCCTCAAGTTTTATAGTGTAAAATAACCGCCCAGAAAAGAAAAGAAAAGTAAAGATGCTCTGAAATTGTTATATTTTTTAAAAAGTTGTATTGATATATCTATTGCCCAAACATCAAACGGTTAACTCAATTTGAGCGGAGCTGTAGCGATTATTGTTAGATTAAAAGATTGTTAGATTAACTATTAGATTGGCAACTATTAGATTGGCAAAAGTTTTTACACTTTTTCGTACACTCCATAAAATATATTTAATACTGTGAATTGAATTAGACTTCTCTAAATATATATTATCTAATTTAAGTGATTTCTGCTCAAATTTGGGTAACTTTTGAAATGAATTTGAGCCAAAATTCAAGGTTTTTCTGAATTTCTGGAAATTTTTCAAATGAAACTATAAAAAAAAACGTTTGATTATAGCTAGCTGAAAATTTGGCTATTTATGTAGTGATTATTGTTGGTTTAGATATAATCTTTATTACAGCGATCATAGTTGGTTCATTGGTTTGGGATTGGGAGAGTAGAGACGACTCCACGACACAAGTCGGCAGCTCGTTCACATTGCTTTTATACGGAACTCAGGCGTTGGTCTCGTCTTACACACAATGGAGTTGAAAGGATAACGCCGCATATTAAATTTCGCACAATAGGCGTTCGCCCACAAAGGTGTCTGACTGACCATTTCCATCCGTGGTGATCTCGATCACGAGATCGTCACGACAGGATCCAAAACTTGATCCAGAGGCACCCTTCCATTCTTTGGTCATCTGTGCAGTCAATTTGCCTGTCTGTGCAGTCAATTTGCCCAAAAGCTGAACAAATTCAAAAACTTTTTATATCAAAATGTAGAGGAGATCTTCAGCTTTCGAATAATACTCATATATATCTTTTTCTTGATTTCGGTATCTTGAGAAATTTACAAAATAGCAAAAAAACGCGCACTCATAACTGGACAACCCAATATAACCAAATGATTGAGAGGAAAATGATAGATTGGACCATCGACACATCGACACATTTTTTTCACAACAATCAGAAAAGTAAACAAAAAAAATAGTGAGCTAAAAGTAAATTTTGATTTTCAAATAGTTATTCACTAACAAATAGACGACAAAAAAATCTTTCTTAGAAGTTTCTAAGTGATTAACCCATTCGAAACCGAAGCGTTTTTTCTTTTTTTTCGTCTGCGGACCAAGCCCTTTTTTGACATTTTTGACTCCGAAGCAGTTTATCCAGATGGTTGGAAAGATTTAAGAGAGTCTCCTACACCATTTATTTTTGATGAAGAACGATTTGGATTTGACTTCAGTACTTTTCAAGATCCTATCGATTATTATTCTTATTTTATCGACGACAAATTAATCAATATGTTAGTAGGCGAATCTAATAAACATGGAAAAAGGAAAACAAACTGGCAAGGATTTCGATGCAAAATCTCTCAAGCTCTTCCTGGCTCTGTATCTTCAAATGGGAATCGTCAAATTACCGAGGATTCGTGACCACTGGAGTAGCAGGCCTGGATTAGGAGGATTTTCCCACATTACGTCAAGAGCAAAATTTGAATCTATTCTTCGAAACCTGCGCTTTTGTGATAATGAACTGGATTCTGCAGGAGATCGGCTTTATAAGATTAGAGCTATTATGGAACATTTCAATGCAAAACCAGAGGCTGCATTGATTCCGGGTAAATATGACACATTTTTTTTGCCCACGTAATTGGTAGATCTGTTACAATTGGAATATACATGTAATGCTGAAAAACAACAAAAAAAAAACCAATTAATTGAATGAAAATAGCTCAATTAGTGCTGCAGCGAATAATCGCTGCAGCAGTCCGTTCCTGAGTTTTTGCTGCAGCGATTATTCGCTGCAGAAGTTTCGAATGGGTTAAAGAATTGAAATACATCTAAATTTTGATTTTCAAATACCGTATTTACTCGAATAGAAGACCGGCCTCGATTATAGGACCGTCTCGAATAAGCTTTACTTGTTTTCAACTTTTTACAAACTTCACTGTTTTGGTACTGGTGATACTTTTCAGTTTAGTTTCACGGATATCAAAACTATAACTTTTTGTGCGCAAAGATCTGAGACCAGTTCAACCAGCCCGTTCCACTTCAAGAACTGTTTCAGGGTCGAAAACGTTCTAATTCTACAGACCAATCAATCAAAATCTCTTTTTTTTAAGTAAGATTTTAAATTTGCCCTATTTTTATTTTGTTCCACTCACTCGACTTCCTCTCGTATTTAATGGATAATCAGAGAGAAGTGCTGCGTAAAAGTACATTTCTTTGTTATCACAAAACTTTTTCTCTTTCCCCATATCGAAAAGAGTTTTTTAATGTTTTATAAAAGATTTTAAAGATTTAATATTTAACATTTAATATTTAACATTTAATATTTAATATTTAACATTTAACATCAGGAATGCGGCTGTCATTCCTCTTTCTGTTTTTCGGAATTTTCCTTATCCTTGTGACGGCTTCCGAGGATAATGAGACGAGTGAGGAAAGAGATGCGAAGTCGAATGAGGTTGACAATGATGCTTCAACGAGTATTGAAGGTGGGAACAGAGGCTTTTATTTATGAATTCATCAATTCTTTGCTTGCTTAACGTTTAAAAAGATAGAGTGGCTTGATTGATTTTGTGTCGAGGATCGAACCCCAGTTGATCAAAAAAAAAATCACAGTGTCTAGCTAAAACCTAGCCAACCAGGCACATGTCTAGGAAACCGTAGACTTGTGTTTCGGCTGGCTCTTTTCGGTTCGGTTCGGTTTCGGTTCAACCGAAGTCAACCGAAACCTTTCGGTTCGGTTCGGTTGAACCGAAAAGATGAGTTTGTCGGCTCGGTTTGATTCGGTTGAACGGAAAAGATGAGTCTTTCGGTTTGGTTCAACTGAAGTCAACCGAAATCTTTCGGTTCGGTTCGGTTGCACGAAAAGATGAGTCTTTCGGTTTGGTTTGGTTCTGTTGAACCGAAGACAACCAAAATCTTTCGGTTCGGTTGAACCGAAAAGATGAGTCTTTCGGCTCGGTTCGGTTTCGGTTCAACCGAAAAGATGAGTCTTTCGGTTCAACCGAAGTCAACCAAAATCTTTCGGTTCGGTTCGGTTCAACCGAAAGCTGAGTTTGTCGGTTCGATTCGGTTAACCGAAACCGAAACCGAAACCGAACCGAAAAAGGACGTTTCCGGTTCAATCGAAACACAAGTCTAGGAAACGGTAAACTTCGCTGATTGTTGGCGAAATTGGGAACATTTGTTATACAATACATTCTTCGTTTGTTAAAGCCTATTTTAGACGAAGAATACGACGAAGATGACGATGAAAGTAATCCTTTTTCGTTTGATGAAGATGATGAGGATGAGGATAAAGAAGTCGACGAAATCGTTGACTCGAAACCGATTGATTATGAAGGAGATCCGATTGGAGAGGTTTCATTTTTGTTTTCAAATTTCCTCAAACTGTTATTTATGATAATTCCCACTAAACAACAAAGATTCCATTTTAGTGGGATGAAGAAGAGCCGTTAGAACCATTGGAACTCGATTCAGAAGACGAGGAAGAACTCGGTGATGACAAAGATGACTTTATCGAATTTCATAAAACGTATTTTCCATTTTACAACTTTTCTAGAAACTCTTAGAAACCGAAAACAGCTAGAGAAAGCTAGAGAAAGCTAGAGAAAGCTAGAAATAGCTAGAAATAGCTAGAAATAGCCAGAAATAGCCAGAAATTTCAGACTATCAAGTTGCTTTCAGATTTAAAGAAAACGTGAAAAAGGCCGAGATGAAACAGACCGTCCAGAACTTCAAAATCAACAACAAAGAGCTCAAAGAGTTGCAACAAGAGAAGAAAAATTTCAAGATTGGCAAGAGTCCATTCATGTACATGTCACAGAAAGAGATTGATGGGGTGAGATGTTTTCCTTTTTCAGTTTAAAATGATCATTGTAATGCACAAAGCATTCATTCGGGATGTAGTTAAAACAGCGCCATAATAGAAAACGTTCAAAATAGCGCTGTCAGATTTTTCAAAATCCAAAAAACGCTCAAAATGTGCGCGAAAAAGAGCACTCAAAATGGGGCTCTAAAGATATTCAGTTAACCAACTGAGTCTCACTCGACACACACATTTTGAGCGCTCTTTTTATCTATGAATATTAACTTTTTGAAAAAACTGTTTTACTCATCATGTAGCCAAGAACGAAAGGAATTTTTTGGTATAAAACTTGAACCGGCTTGTTTTTTCGGATTTTGAGAAATTTTTGACGGCGCTGTTTTGAACGTTTTCTATTCAGCGCTGTTTTGAACGTTTTCTATTCAGCGCTGTTTTAACTACATCCCATTCATTCTTCATCAAATACCATTTTTCAGCTATTCGCTCCTGATTCAATGTTTGAGAATCGACCTAAACCGACGAAAATGCTCAAATCGGGATTGAAAGTGGTAAAGAACGAGCACAAGGTGTTGAAGTTTACTTTCTCATTGCAAAAATATAATTTCAGCGATCAACTAGAGGAGCAAGAAGACAGGTAACTTTCGCAACAGACTTAAAAGACTTTTTTTTTGATTTTAGTAAGAAACTTATATTGTACAACTTTTAAGAGAAATTATAGAAATGATAGAAATGATAGAAATCTCTAAACAAAGAGAAAGCTGGTCACTTTTTGCTTGTTTCTCCCAGTTTCCTTCTCATGATAAAGGCTCTAATCGTTTTCTCTAATCCAAACACTTTTTCAACAGCCCCGACGACGCACCCGCAAAGTGAAACTTCCAAAAAATTTTGATTGGCGCACGAAAAATGTGCTTTCACCTATTCGCGATCAAGGCAGCTGTGGAAGTTGTTGGGCGTTCAGGTTTGGAGTTGTTTTTCTTGATGTTTCTAGTGTTAAAGTTGGCAATTGATCATAAATTCATAAAATTCTAATAGTTTTACATTTGCACTTGCATTTGCATTTGCATTTACATTTGCTTTAACCTTGAATCGAATCAAAAAGATCAATGAGTTTAAATGGCACTGATTTAATCTCATTAAAAGACGTTTTGTGATCAATTTGAAACAAATCTAATAGAAAAACGGATCAGCTCAGAATCCGATTCAAAGCTTTTCCAAGTTTTCAGTCTTTTAATCCTATCTTTGCGAGATTTTATCGAAAAGTTTTTGATTTTATTCAATCGTTCAATCGTTTATTTTATGTTAATCATGAAATTTCCTCCCAAATTTCTATAGTTCGTTAGAATTGGAGCCATGTGCACTAGCCGATAGATTGAAAAGTTCAAAAATCATCTTAATTTTAGTGTTTTTGCCTTATAGTTTACTTAGTTTAGCTGCAATTCGAAAAGCAATCGATAGAAAATTTGATTGAACTCGATGAAATCGATGAACTCGATGAACTCGAATTTCTAGATTGCTAAAAGTTTCTACATATCCTTTAGCGCCACCGCTCCGATCGAAGTAGCTTATGCCCGAAAGTACAAAAAGAAGATCGACTTGTCGGAAGAGGTAAAGGCAAAAACGATTATGTGAAAATTTCTTTCAGCAATTGCAATGTGTATACAACGAGGGCACAATGTGCACGGGAGGGCATCCGGAAACAGCTTTGAAGTGAGACATTTTTGTTTACATTTGTTTAGATTTGTTTAGATTTGTTTAGATTTGTTTAAAAGCTAAAAATTTAAACTTTTTCTACTTGAATTGACCAACTTTTGATTCAAATTTGAGTAGTTTTATTGATTTCAGTTTCAGTTTCGTTGATTGTTACTTGATAAAACAGGAATGCTGGTGAATCAGGATTTCCACTACTATGAGAATCGTCAATTTCAAATGCGACTCCAATAGCTCTATCAAAATCTACTTAAAAGAAAAAAATTGTCTGAATCATAAGATTAAAGTAATTTTGAATTGAAAAAGAGTAACTCAAGTGATTTCAAGTTAAAGTTAAAGTTAAAGTCAAGTTAAAGCCAAATTATTTTTCTATATTTCAGTTATTTACTGAACAGCAAAGGTCAAGCCACGGAGAAGTCGATCCCCTACAAAGGGTGCCGTAATTCGACGTGCAGGAGAAATGTTTGTGATTTAAAATTTGAATTTCAGGATTTACCAGATCTTTTGATTAATATAACAACCAGGGAAAATCCTTTTTTTTCAGATAAACGTTGCTGCACAGCTGGAAAGTTTCGCCACTTTGATGCCCTTCCAAATGGCCAAAGTCAAGCACGCCTTAATCAAGAATGGACCGATTTCTTTTGGTTTATTGAATAACATTGTTTTAGTTGTTACTTGATAAAATAGGAATGCTGGTGAATCAGGATTTCCAATTCTATGAGAGTGGGATTTTCGATGCACCGTGTACATCAGCGGACGAAGGAGGTCATGCGATGACGATCGTTGGATACGGTAATTGAAAGAAAACGCACTTTAGGCTTGGATATTAGAATCTTGGACTTTGACTTTGACTTTGAAGTGATTTCAGGTGAAGAAAATGGCACTCCTTACTGGATTGTTCGGAATCAATGGGGAAAAGATTGGGGAGAAAAGGGACACATCCGGGTCAGTCTGTCAAAAGCATTCGGCTTCTGCTTTTTAGCAAACGACATTTGTTTATCCTAGAATGCAGATATTTTTTTGTTTTTACAGTGAATTTATCTCTAGACTTTAGCAAACAAAAGTCGTTTCCGAAAACGCAAAAAGTACTGTCTATAAATGGGGATTTTTGATTTATTGCAAGTGATCTACAAAGCTGAGACAAAGCTATTTAAGCTGAGATGAAGCTATTTAAGCTGAGATGAAGCTATTTAAGCTGAGACAAAGCTATTTAAGCTGAGATGAAGCTATTTAAGCTGAGACAAAGCTATTTAAGCTGAGATGAAGCTATTTAAGCTGAGACGAAGCTATTTAAGCTGAGATGAAGCTATTTAAGCTGAGATGAAGCTATTTAAGCTGAGACAAAGCTATTTAAGCTGAGATGAAGCTATTTAAGCTGAGACGAAGCTATTTAAGCTGAGATGAAGCTATTTAAGCTGAGATGAAGCTATTTAAGCTGAGACAAAGCTATTTAAGCTGAGATGAAGCTATTTAAGCTGAGACAAAGCTATTTAAGCTGAGATGAAGCTATTTAAGCTGAGACAAAGCTATTTAAGCTGAGATGAAGCTATTTAAGCTGAGACAAAGCTATTTAAGCTGAGACAAAGCTATTTAAGCTGAGATGAAGCTATTTAAGCTGAGACGAAGCTATTTAAGCTGAGATGAAGCTATTTAAGCTTACACAAAACTGTTTAAGCTGAGATGAAGCTATTTAAGCTGAGATGAAGCTATTTAAGCTGAGATGAAGCTATTTAAGCTGAGACAAAGCTATTTAAGCTGTGATGAAGCTATTTAAGCTTACACAAAGCTGTTTAAGCTGAGATGAAGCTATTTAAGCTGAGACAAAGCTATTTAAGCTGAGACAAAGCTATTTAAGCTGACACAAAGCTGTTTAAGCTGACTGACACAAATCGGTTTAAGCTTACACAAATCGGTTTAAGCTGACACAAAGTTAAGGTTAAATCAGTTAAGATCAAGCTGGTTTTATATTAAAATCATTTTCAGGTAAAAGCTGGTGTGAACTTGTGCGGGATCGAGTCGAGATACATGTATCAAGTTGCGGTCAAATAAAAAAAGAAATCAGCAACGATCCTGATCTATAGCTCTTTTAGAAACGATTTACAATTGTATTTTTATGAAAATAAACTTTTTTGACTTTTTGTCACGAAAAGATTTATTTTAAAGATAGAGCTAAGCTTTCTTAAGGCTAAGGAATAACAATAACTATTAAAAGAACTAACTATTGGGTTGGGGAGAATGAGTCGGCGCCGAAAATGAAAAAAATGTCTAAAACTTCTATTCGACTTCGTCAAATAATATGCGTTTGATATCAGTAGAATGGTTAACTAATTCTCTACAAAATCACATTTAAAAGAAAATTCAAACAGCGCCTCCGCTCAAGAAAAAGCCATTTTTTCACAAAAACTACAAACTGTCATCTAGAAAAAACCATTGGTGGGATCTTCCTGAAAATTTGGCAACTTAAGTAATTGAATGTGCTCTATCTTTTTTATCTAAACACCAAAGAAGGTTTATGTAAAAGAAACTGTTCAAATGATGAGCCGGACTCTTTGCCATTTTAACCAGCTGCGTTTGGAAGTTCATAAACTCCACGAAAGAAAAGCTTTGTGGAATCTCTCAAAAGTGATTTTGTAGAGAAATAGTGGATCCTTTTGATGAAACCAAACGTATGTTTAAAGAAGGCTTTATGTGTGCAAAAAGTCCCTTTAAAGTTCGGCGCCGACTCATTCTCCCCAACCCAATATTACTATTATTCATTCATCAAACAGGCCTCCAGATTTCCACTGATTCTTAGATAAGTTCTGTTGACTGTTTCCAATCCTTAAAGTTCTACTTTTTTGTAAAAAAATAAATAGCCTATTAGTTTCAATGGTGTATTGCTGGAACAACATGAACGGACGTCACTTTAGTGAAGTTTTGTGTGATCTAGAGACTTGAATGTAAAAGTTTTCTAACATTATATAACCTCAAAACACTTGTAAAAGCCTTCATCGTAAATACACGATATGGCTGAGTGAAGAGAAGAAGCAAAGTCGAGACGACCACTTCATGCAATGTCATGAGAACGGTGGCCGCGTTCAGATACGATTGCAGAATGGGGATATCTGTCGCAAAAAGAACGTAACCGATTAGCAACGACAGGAAAACAAGGGAAATCAAGGGTAACATTATCTGTAATTGCAAGTCTTGCAACTGGTTATGATTTAGTTTACACTTTCCGTACAAAAGCCTATTTATTTGATTCTGAAAAAGAGCATAAAAACTATTACAGTTTATAAAGTTTATAAATCAACCGTGAACAGTAAAACAATACAAAGCTTTTTGTGGAGTCTTCTCAGCTTTTTGTGGAGTCTTCTTAGCACTCATGTGGTACAATGGTCGATTGAGCATTACGAATGAATGTGACACGAAGAATGTGCACTAATTGGTTTTAGTTGATTTGATGATAATGCTGTTAACAATTCAAGTTTGACTTGAGTTTGGACTATTCCCGAGAAAGTTGTCGACCCTTACATTTAGATGGCTGAAGCTTGATGGCTGAAGCTTGATGGCTGAACCTTGATGGCTGAACCTTGATGGCTGAACCTTGATGGCTAAACCTTGATGGCTGAACCTTGATGGCTGAACCTTGATGGCTGAACCTTTGATAATAATCAATTTTATTAGATTTTTAAGAATTGTTTCCTGTGTGCCGTAGACAGGTGAATTCAGAAACAACTGGGTAGAAAAGGCAGACAAGAAGATACAGATTTATATGAAAGAAAAGTTTTACAACACAACCTAGACACCAACACAACCTAGACACGTTAACTCCCACTGCAGTAACGCAAATTGAGTGCATTGTGGTGTAATGGTAGCACAGTTGGTCAGTAAGCGAAAGGTCACGGGTTCAAGTACCGGCGGCACCAAATTTTTGATCTGTCCTAGTTCGAACTCTAGAAAGTTTACTGGATTTAATGGCTTCGTATCAAATCGGTTTTATGTGAAGTTAAATCAGACTTTTTGCTTGATGGTATGCAGTTTATTGAATATCTAACAAGGGAATGGTCTCAGCTCAAAGTTCTGAATCAATTGGAAACACAGTGCATAACGTAGGTAGCATCTTTTTTGATTCCTAACGTCTACACCATATGAAAACTATTTTTGTTTCATCTCGCTTTGTTAACCCTCAACATTCGCTTCAAATTTCTAAACTAAAAGTTCAAATTTTACTTCTATTTTTGATACTTTTCCGTTTTTTTCCCCACAAATTACTATGCAAAAAAAATTTGGATTTAAAAAAAGCAAAGAAAAACGAAAAAGTCTAGAAAATTTGGGAAACAGTTTGTCTAAAGGAGAGCGTTTAGCGCTGATTTTTGAGATCAGATTTGAGATCGTTCATCAAATTGTCGGGAACGTGGAAAATCCGTTTGCGAAAAGCGTTCATTTCTACTTTTTTGAGCATAAAGTACGCAAAAAATTTTATTTTAAGAAATCAGCGATGGGGTAAAAAGATTCGTTTCTATTCTTTTGTCGCCTGAAGATTTTCATTCTCATAGACATCGTTTGCCTTGAGATTCGAGAGGAATTTCTCGGCGAACTCTCGACCAGAAGTACTGTAACATAGTTATATGATAGATTACGAGAGTTAGAGTCTTTATTACCGGACTGAAGCCTCAGATTAGTGGCCAAACAAGCCAAGCTCTATTTACCGCAAAAACTAATAGAACAACCCCCATATAGGAGCGTCGTGTAGGCTAAGTTTACTCTCAAACAAACACTCATACCTCAATACCAGTACGCTTGTTTCTGCGCGGTTTGGTATCAAATTAAAGTAGAGAGAATGGGTGATTTTTTGAGATACAAAAAATATTTTTAGAATTAACCAGCGCTTAGAAAAAAATGATTGAAAAATAGCAAAAAAAAGAGCCGATAGTCTAGGAAATTGTTTGTTGTTTAAGTGACTTACTACGTCCAAAAGAGAATGATATTTGTGTCGGGGAGTGCTTGTTTCGAGAGCAAATCTCGATACTCGTCATAGTCTCGACTTGTCTAAAAATTACGATATTAAAATGTATTTTGATTCCAGTAAGATTAAGTGTTGATCATCGCAGGTTTATTTATTTATTCGAAATCCAAAGTTGATTATTGGTTTTGTGTGATGCATTATGATTATTTGTTCACGTTTGGATTAGATGTACAATGTGTTCATTAAACGCTTCATTAACGGATTGAACTAACTAACTAACTTACTTACTTGACCTTCTTACTGACATGAAGAAAGATCTGCGTAATCTCGGGAATTACTTACTTGAACTTACTTACTGACTTGAGCTTACTGACATGAAGAGAGATCTGAGCAATCTCGAGAATTACTTACTTGAACAGAGATCTGCGTAAACTCGGGAATTTCTTCAATTCTTCCCTCGAATGCTGCAAATTTTTGCGTTTTTGGTTGAGCGAAAATGATTGCGTGATTGAGAGGGGAAATCGCTTGGATAAGCCCGTCACGGTAGTAGGAATCCCATCTGCAAATTTTGATAGATTTAATAACAAAACATGGTACAGTAATGTCTATAATATATTGGAATCGGATCCGAGCCTTAAGTCAACAGTTTTTGACATTGATGCAACTCAAAATGACAACTTTTATAGCCATCCAAAGTTAGGTTTTACATTGGCCAATTAAAACAGGAGATTTCCTATAGAATTATATAGAAAAATCCAAAAAAATCCAAGTTGCTTTTCATTAAAAAAAGATAAATTAACAAAAAACAAATATTTTATTGAAATTTATGACCCGGATCCGTCCCTAGATTCGGATTTTTTCCAGATCAGATCTCCAGATTCAGATCTTTTTTGAACTAGTCTCTGATTGAGATAAGTAAAGAGATAGACTGGATTGTAAGCTATCGCTTGATAGGTTATCTTAAGTTAGACACACTATGAGAACGGTTTTATGCTGGACTTTATTGAGAACTGATATAGAATTTAGATATAGTAATTTAAAATTATAAAAACCCTTTCCTTACTTTAACTGATTGTGAGCGGGAATTCCGGCGACGATGCGCGATCGCGAGCCGAGCCGAGATCTGAACAATTCTTGCTACAATTCTTACTACAATTCATAATAGAATAAGATTTTCTAAAGTATTTCATTCTATTTTTACAATATTACTTTAACATTAATATGCTGTATAGTATTTTTATCGATTCAAAGCTTTAAGCTCACCGAAGCGCTTTCAGTGTAGCGTGTATGGCGGCCGGATGGTAGGCGTAATCCATCCAAACTGATACACCGCTATTTGTAGAACCGAGCTAAATATAAGAACTAAATATAAGAGCAAAATTTGCTTGAGGGATTCGATGATAAAGCTTACAGCGTACATTTGTCAAGCGATCCTTTGACCCAACGAAGTGTGACAAAGCTTTGGCTGCTATTGATGGACTGGAAACTGATTTAAAATAGAATTCAATTTAAATGTCAGTGCTTTAAATTTAAATTTAGCTTAGATTTAGGTATTATTTAGATTTAGGTATGAAATTTTGATCAAATCTCTGTACTCACTCAACGCCAGCGTGATGAGCGGCTGCAGTGGCTGCCAGCGCGTTTAGAACCTGAATTTCTTCGCAATTTTCATACAGAATTTCGTTTTGCATATATATAAATTTTAAGTAAACGAGATAATCGAACTTTTTTGGAAAAAGTCGGTTGTAAAAAATGATGGCTGTTTGTAGGTAAGTAAGTAAGTGATAACTAAATGATGGCTGTTTTGAAGTAAGTAAGTAAGTAAGTTCAGTGGAAGTAAGTAAGTAGGTAAGTACAAGTAAGTAAGTAAGTTTTTCGTTCTATTTTGTAAAATTTTTAAGATGTATCTTTGCCTTTTTCAAATTTTTCAATAAAAATTCGTTTTACTTTCTTTTTTATGTAAAATAAAGCCATAGATCTTCTATATTTTCAGGTAAAATTTGCAAACAAATCCGTTCAGCCGTTTTTTCTGAATTTTCTTTTAAATAAAAGTCCTCAAATCAAGGATTTTGGTTACTCGAAATAAATTGAAATTTGTAGAAAACGATTGAATGGATTTTACTGGAAATTTTTGCTAGAAATGTAATAAAGATTGGTCTTTCTTCAGCATAGAAAGTTAGTGTCAAATTCCCATCAAAAAAAAAGTTGCCAACCGTCGATTCTCGCCAATTTGGCTTACTCGCTTTTGTGTTCCCGAAAAACCCAAAAAAAAACGAAATCTTTTCTAAATTTAGTCAATTATAAACTTTTAAGCTTTAAAATCATGAAAATATCTTTATCTTTACTTGATGTTCCC